CTTCAGCATGCGCCGCAGGATCACCTCGATGCCGCTGGCCGTGCGGATGCGCTTCATCCAGCCGTGGGTCCGCTTCCGCTTCAAGTTATTGGGCTGGTACTCGTTGCCGCGGGCCTTAGTGCGCGCTGGCGGGCGGCCCCAGCCCGGCGCCTGCCCCGGGCCGCGCTGGCAGAGTCCTGCCGGCCTCCAGGCGCTCAAGATGGAGGCGGCCCCCCGGCTTTGCGGGGCCCAGGCCGCGACGGCAGGCAGCAGCGGGAACCTGCGGGGAGAGAGCCGGCGGTGAGGGGCTGCGGGGGCAGGGGCTGGGCCCCGGCCCCGGCCCCAGGCCCTACCTGCCGCCGGCCAGCCCAGCCCACAGACGCAGGCCACGAGCCCACACAGCCGCCATAGCCGGACCACACCGTCCCCCCAGCAAAGCCGGCGCTCATTGGCTCCTGCTGCCCGACCAATCACGGCGCGCGGGGCTGGAGAAAGCAAGGGCGTCTGGGAAGCGGCCTCACATGGCGTGGTGGCGCGAAGGATTCTGGGGCTTGTAGTTTCACGCTGTCGTTCCTTGGCTGCTCTGGAGTAGGGGCGGGGCTCGTGGGTTCTTCATTTGGGGATACGGGGAGGGGGGCAGGACCCCCTCACTCATCATTTGGGGATATGGGGGGGGCAGGACCCCCGGGCTCATCATTTGGGGATACGGGGAGGGGGGCAGGACCCCTGGGTTCTTCCCCCGCTCCGTCGGGGGTGCTGGGTCAGAGCAGGGGTGGTGGGATCCGCCTGGTCCCCGGTGGCTGCGGGTTGGGGTGCCTGGAACGGAGGTCGGGTCTCGTGGGCTTCCCCTTGGGTCAGCTGAGATCAGAGGATGAAGTTTTGGAGCCCAGGCTCTCCTGGGTGCCGGCTGGACCAGCCTCTCCGCGGACGGGCTGCCTTCTCCCACTCCGAATTTCTTCCCATCCCACCCCTGCCCTGGGAACAGGCTGGAGGCTCCCAGTGCCTTGCCACCTGCTCAGGCCCTCCGTGCCCCCTGCACAGCTCCCAAATTTGTAGACAAACCAAGCACACAACAACCCCCGCCCGGATGCCAATGCATTTCCATCGAGTGCCTGCTGGCAGCCACTCCTGCTGCTCGTGGTGTTTCTCTCTGGCACCCGGCGGCTGATTGCTCGAGCACGTGGCTGCGCCCTCCGAATGCAACACACGCCTCTTGAGCACGTCTGCTGTGCGCTGGCACAGGGCCTGTGGCTGGCTAGGGCTGGAGGAGACACCGCCCTCCCCTTGCTCATGGCCAGACCTCTTCGCGTTGCCGCTCAGTCGCGCACTCGCTAGAGATCTGCCCGGAGCAGCCACGCAGCAGGGCTTTTCACTCCTTTGTCCAGCCGGGGAAGAATCAGGGTTTTCCAAGGGCAGAGAGAATTGGAGAGGACCGTGGCCTCCACGGCTCGGCTCCCCCCCTGCACAACTGGGGAGGACACCCCCTGCTCCTCTAAAGAGGCGGAGGAGGTTGGATGTTGGCAAGCCGTTTCCCGTTTGAGGTGGAACGTGCACAAGTCTGGTTGCTCGGAGGCCTCCACAGATACATGCTAATGTCGTGTGTGTCATAAAATCATTGAAAATGAGGGCTGAAGGGAGCTCAGGAGGTCACATCTAGTGCAGCTCCCTACTCCAAGCAGGACCAGCCCCAGCTGCATCATCCCAGCCAAGGCTTTGCCTACCCAGGTCTTAAACACCTCCAAGGATGGAGATGCCATCACCTCTCTGGGGAACCTGTTCCAGTGTTTCACCACCCTCCTAGTGAGAAAGTTTCTCCTAATATCCAACCTAAACCTCCCTTGCTGCAGCTTGAGCCCGTTGCTCCTTGTCCTGTCATCTGTCCCCACCGCGAACAGCCCAGCTCCGTCCTCTTTGCAGCCCCCTGGCAGGGAGCTGAAGCAGGAGAGCATCTATTATTATTACTATTATTATTACTTTAGACTAGATGACCTGTGGAGGTCCTTTCCAGCCCCTATCAGGGGCACTGAGTAGAGCGGGCAGGCGGGCTGGGAGCAGGATGGGGATGGGGGCTGAGAGCTGCACCCTCGAGGGGTCCTGGTGCAAGAGACACCGTGCAAGCAAGTGCAGCTGATGCAGACCTGGGTTAAAAAATAAATGACTGTTGAAAAGCTCCAATGTTTAGTACCAAAAAAGGGGGTCTCTGAAGGACTCCTTGTCTTGTTTCCAGGGCTCTGTCGTCCAGTGCAGTGCAGCTCTTGCAGCCCTTTTGGTGCATTTGGTCCTGCATCGAACAAGGCATTGGGAGCAGGAGGAAACCGCAGAAGGGCTTCCCCTGCCTGCCCAGGGAAAGGCTCAGAGCAGTGAGTGTTTGCAAATGGTGCCAGCTTGCTCCCTAAATCTGCTGCCCATGTCTCAGAGCCAGATCTGCTGACTTTGGCCTTGCAGGGACGACTGCGTGAGAGCTGCATCCATCTCTCTGGGGCAGAAGCGGAAGCACTTTCTGTGTCCCACCTTAACCCTGCCTGCACCCCCTTCCTCTGGATCAGAGCCACAGGGGATGGCGTGGGAAGCAGACCGGGCCCCAGCCGGCCTCTCGGGCTCCCGCAGGCACATGCAGCATCGGTGGCAAGAAACAGTGCATGCTTTTGTTACTTGTAAGCTGAGTGCATTTGCTCGAAAGTCCTTGAGACACAATGAGACATTAATGTAGCTTGGAAAAAAACCAAACAATTCCCTGCAAACCACTGGCCCGTAGATGGGAGCCGGACCTGTTTATGGAGAAGTGAGCGCTGGGTGCGAAGAATGGGCAGTCCCAGCCTAGTAATTATTTCCTCTCGCAGGCCTTTGATTCCTCATGCCTGCTCCTGAGTTTAGATGCTCCAGTGTTATATTGTGCAGCAAGACGGGCCACCTTGGCAATAGATGCAGCGTGATCGAACGTGGTGCTGGGATGTGCTGGTACACTGAGGCGTGCCTGTGTCTTCTGCCCGACCACGTAATCCAGACCGCCCCGCGCAAGAACAGCGCTATACAAGAGACACTCGAGCCCCTTCTGCTGGGAACTGGATGCCCCTTGCCCCAGAGAGGTGACTAATGATCCCAATTTGCAGAGAAGCACAAAGGGGGGGTGACGCTCAAGGTCACGGCCAGCCAGGGGCTCTGGGAGCAGAACCCCAAAGTCCCGGCCCTCCCGTGAGCGGCTGTGACCGCTCGGGCCGAGTCCCTGCCGGGCTTCAGGAGGGGCGGTGAAGTCGCTGCACGGCCACGGCCCCGAGTGAAGCGAGCAGCGGGGCCAGGTGCAAATCTTCCTCGTTGTCGTGTCTCCAATCCACCCTTTCTATAGGGCCTCTTCCCCATATCCTGCTTCTGGCATCCGTGTTGCCAGATCTCGTGGTGTTGTCGGTATGGAGGGCATGAGAATCCCCCCCACCCCACACTGCAAACAAGGAGGGTTTTCCCCACCCGGTGCCAGGGGGGCATTGTATCGGGCCTGCCCCCATTTCCATGCCCAGCGGTGAGGCTAGAAATGTCCCTTTCCTTAGTGAAAACAGAGGGTCTGGTGCATTCAGGAGAATCCCAGACCCAAGGCTCCCCAAAGACGCCCCCAGCCCCACGAGACAAGATGCAGGGGTGGGGGGGTAGGACCAGGCTTTGCAGCAGGTGCAGGCCTGGAGTCTCGGTCCCTGCCAGGAGGGGCTGGTCCAGGCATCTCCTCCCTCCTTCCCCCGCCAAGCCTCGCACCGCAAAGCCGGGCTCCTGCCTCCCTGCCCGTCATCCCAAACCCCTCCTCGCTAGGAGGGACCTAAGGGCTTTTCTGTGGCTCCGGCGGCGGACAAGGGCACAGAGCCCCCCGGAGCCGAGCCCCGCTCTGCCTGCCGGGCGGCTCATGGGGAGCCGGGGGGCGGGTGAGGAGCGCAGCCTCCTCCCGGTGCCCGCGGACGATGTGATCGGTCCGGCCTCGGCTCCGTGCGGGCTCGCTCTGGGCATCCGCAGCCCCCGATGAGGTGAGCGGGGCTGGCCCCAGGCCAGGGGGGGTGCGGGGCTGGAGGGGTGCCCGCCCGGCCTTATGTAAGCAGTGGTGAGGGGGATGCCCCCCCTTTGGTCGCAGCTGCCCGGCAAGGGCCCCCCCAAGCTGGGGGGGGGGTGTGCTGGGCACAGCTGCCCTGCACCAGGCTGGTCCTGGGGGGTCTTTTCCTCCTGCTTTCTGATGGATCCCGCCCCCCTCCACTGCAGGAAGGAGGGAAAGGCCGCGGGCGCCTTCACCCCGGGTTGGAAGGGGCTCGGGCGCAGGCTCCGGCTCTGCCGCGCTGCGGGAGCTCGGTCCCCTGCAGAGCTGCTCTTCCTTGCCCTACATTGGCGCCCGCCAGCCTTCCCCTGCCCGCTGGGCTCGGGTGCCCCGGGGAGTCCTGCGGCGCTCCCTGGCCTGGCCCAAGCCCTCGCGGCCCCATGTTGCTTGGCGTCGTTTGGAGCGAGGGGGTCGCGGGCACCGTGGCCCTGCCGCGCTGCGTGGGCTCCTCTTGCCCTGCAGCTCCTTCAGCTCTGCCGCCTCCTCTCAGCCCATCCTTGCAGGGGCGAGCGGAGCCAACTCCTGGCTTTGCAGCAGCGCTAATCCCTGGGCCGAGGACCAAGCTCTGGCCTGGCAGGCGTTTCTGCAGGGGGAGCACAAGGGAGCTGTGGGGCCGGCCCTCCTGGGTGCACGAGCCCTGCCTGGCCATCCCGCTGGGGCCGCAGCACGTGGCAGAGCCGGGCTGGAAGCAGGTCGAGCGCCCGGCTCTGGGCCCATCTGATCTGAGCGGACGTGGGCCCTGTCTTTTGCCTCCCTGCTTCTACCCCTCTCCAGCCGCACGCCTTGGCTCAAGGCGTCTCATCCTGCGACTCGAGCACAGCCCCGGACAGCAGGGTCCTGGGCCTGGGCGGGGACCAGAGCAGGGGGGTCCCAGGGTGTCCCCCCCTTCTCGCTGGGGGTCGGGGTGTTGTGGAGCAGGACAGAGCTCCTGGGTGCCGAGGTGCACGAGGCTTTGTAAGCAGCTCCGCAACACGCAGGGAGGCCGTGGCCGGCAGAAAGGGGGACCTGGCGACTGCCGTGTGCCAGGGGCATCTCCTGGAGGAAGGGAGATGCCCCATGGATAACTCCCCCCAGCTTTGCTAGGGCACAGCCAGGCTGGGCTGGGAGAACAAATGGGCACCGACAGCTGTCTGGGGTTTCAGCTGCTGACGGGGAGGACAAAACAAAAATCACTGCAGAGACATGCAGCTCGCAGGCTGCCCACAGCTGGAACCACTGCGGTGGTACCAGGACCGTGCATCAGTACGAGGAGGGGACGGTTGCCCGAGGAGCCCGAAAGTAGTCGCAGGTCACATGCATTTGCACAGCTTTCAGGAGACTGTCAGCGCGTGGTTGGCAAGGGGGAAGATGTGGGTCACGGATATGCAGCCTGCGTAAGCACACAGGGGGACCCAGGAGTCCTGGGGCCACATCCCTGCTCCCTGCCCAAAGTGGAGGCAGAAGCAAGGAGGCCCAATTCCCAGGTGCGAAGCCCCACATTCCCCGCGCCCAGATGGGACCGCTCCGATCCCCCCACCGTGTCCGAGCTCTGCCCTGGTAACCCCACGGGCCACCACTCAGCACCCCTGGGATGGGGAGGCCTGGTCCCCTGGAAACATGCCAGCCCCACCTGCCAGGCTGCAAGGGTCACTGCCTCGGGGAGGGAGAGGCTCCCCTCACAGCAAGGCAGCCCCCAAAATGCCCCCAGTCCAGCCCCACTCTCCACGGGGCTGACACCACCCTGTCCTGAAGCCCATCAGCATCGACAACCCACCAGCCTTGGCTCCAGCAGTAACGGAGGCGCTCCCGCCGTGCAGGGGCTGGAGTCTCCCCAGGTCCCCTGCACCGACAGCATCAGGCTGGAGCAGGGCTGCGGGGGAATCGCCCTGCCCTGCAGCTCCAGCTTGCAAAGACCCCCGTACACAAGCAGCACCCCCAGCCCCAGCCTGCAGGGATGGCTCCTTTCTTTCCAGCTCCCTGCCTTTCCGTCAGGCACTGCCCCTCTCTCCCTGGCATCCAGCAGCAGCACTTCAGTCCCTGCCATAGCCAGTGCCCCACCATCCAGCAGCTCTCCCCTCCAAAGCCCCCAGCATCTGCAGCCAAGACTCAGCGCCTGCTGCCCTTTTATGTAGGCCAGAGCCTGGCGCAGGGCCCAGCACCTGTAGGCAGCTCATTGCTTGCAGGTGGGGGGGCTTAGCTCATCATTCATTTAAAAGGACTGCCCAATTTGCCCCCAGCCTCGCTTCCCATGGCAGGATGCCTGACAGCCCAGGGTGATCTGGGGGGGTGCTGCATGCAGCCCCTGCTCCTTACGGCTACTTCATCACATGCCTCAGTTTCCCCAGCCATCTCCTGGGGCAGGAGGTTGTCGCTCCCTGCCTTGGGGAGAGGAGACGGACACAGGAGCCCCTAGTATGAGCCCCCCTCCGTGCACAGGCTCCAGCCCACAACCCCCCATCGGTGCAAGGATCTGACCACAGCTGACCTGGAGCTCTGCTTGCGTGTGGGGGACTCCCGCCTCCCTCCGGGGCTCTGGCTCTTCCAGGCCCGGCTGCAGCCCCGGAGGCTTGAGCTTTGTGCCAGGCTTGTCTCCTAGTGCTCAGTCCCCGCGGTCAATAGAGACCTGCTGTTTGCAGGGAGGCAGCAAAGCCACCCCGAGATGGCCTACGTGGTCCCTGGGCGCGCTGCTAGCCACGGACCCTTGCACTCACCCACCCCAAGCCACCCTACCCTGCCTGGCGGCTCAGTCCCCAGCATCGTGCCCAGGGGCTGCGGTCAGGATCAGGGCACTCCTGCGCTAGATGCTGCCCAAGGGGCCCCTGCCCTAAAGTGCTGGCAGGGAAAGACCTCCCCATGCCCCGTGGCAGGGCAGGGAAGGGGGCAACCCCCCCCTGCCACGTCCTGCTGAGGCCTTTGGGGATGCCACTGGGAACCGGCCATGCCCCTCGGGGAGAGCGGAGCCCCTCACCCCCTCTCCCCGACCCCCCAAGCCGCTTGTGGAGTGAGTGCAGCTCGGGCCTTGTCCCCGCACCCGGCCGTCTCCTGTGCCCGGTGTCTGCAGCGTTTAGATGTTTCCACGTTGGCACTGTCATGGCAGTGCCTGGAGCAGGGTGTCAGGATGACCTCTCTTTCCATGCTCAGCCCTTCCCCGTGGTGCATCTTAGGCCGCTCATCCCAAAACCAAGGTCGGCCCCAGGGAGAGCTGTCCACCCACCCATTCAACGGGGGTTTCCAACCACAGGAGATGCACCCCCTCCTTTCCCAGGTTTGGGGGCTGCACACCAGACCATCTGCCATGCTGGGCCCTGGCTGTGAAGCCCCCCACTCTCCCCCTGCTTGGGCAACGGCTGCATCTGCAGGGTGCCCGGGCACCGGGCAAGGGCAGGGTGCCGCTATCCGCGATCCAGGCACCGGGACCTTATCCCCTCCAGGCCCACACTGTGAGATGCCAGGCCTGGGCACCGCCTTCTCTCCAGCATCTGTGAGAGCGGGATGGGGCCTGCTGAGCCCGCTCGGGGGTCCTGGGTGGGGTGGAGGCTGCTGGACATGGCAGCCGGACTTGGCCCTGATGGCACTGGAGGAGCCAGGGCAGGTGAGGGCACATGCACACCTCTGAGCAGCTGCCCATGGCGGGTCTGTGCCCATCTCATGCAGCTGCATGGCTCCCCTGGCCTGGACAGGGCCAGATCCACAGCTGGTGCCAAACCAGAGTGAGCGAGGGGACCTGGGCACGGACAGCAGCGGGCACACGTGCCCCCCTAACTGCTGTCCTCCCCCCGCAGGAAGCAGCATGTTGACCAGCATCACCGATGGGATCATGTGTTGCCTCACGGGCAAGGCGACCAGCGCAGTGGGGCCCCTGGACAGCGTCGAGTCCCGCGATGGCTTCAGCTTCGTGGAGGTGAAGCCAGGGCGGGTGCTGCGGGTGAAGCATGCCCTGCCAGCCCGGCCCAGAGAGGAAGCGGTGCCCGAGGACCCCATGCCCGAGCGGGGCACAGTGCATTGCAAGCGTAAGATCACCGTGTACCGCAACGGGCAGCTGGTCATCGAAAACCTGGGCGATGCCCTGCGCGCCGAGATCCTGCAGTGCCCCAACGGCGCCGTGGAGCCGACCGGCACCGTGGAGCTGGAGCTGTCCGATGCTGCGGGCCAGGCCCCGGTGCCCACCCCTACCCGCGAGGTGGTGGCCCCCGGCCGACACCGCAAGCGCAAGCCCAAGAAGGTGGTGAGCATCGACTGCCAGAAGCGCATCACCAGCTGCAAGGGGACGCAGGGCGACGTCGTGCTCTTCTTCATCCACGGCGTGGGTGGGTCCTTGCACATCTGGAAGGAGCAGCTGGACTTCTTCACCAAGCTGGGCTACGAGGTGGTGGCCCCCGACCTAGCCGGGCACGGCAGCAGCTCCGCGCCGCAGGTAGCGGCCGCCTACACCTTCTACGCCCTGGCCGAGGACATGCGGGCCGTCTTCAAGCGCTACGCCAAGAAGAGGAACATCCTCATTGGCCACTCTTATGGGTAAGGGTCCCCCGGATGGGGCGGTTTGGAGGGACTGGGCCTGCACGGTCCCCGTGCCCAGCCCTGGAACCAGGGGGACTGGGGCTTCCTGACTAGACGGGCCATGGGGGTCACAGGTTGGATCGACTGCCTGGCCTATCCCCGCATCCTGGAGGGTCATTCCTGAGCTGGGGGGGGGGGGGGTCTGGGGGCAACAGCACCCCCCCAGGTGCTGCCCCCGGATGGAGGGAGCTCTGTGGGGGCAGAAGAGGAGAGCTCTGCAGAGCCCATCCAAGCCCTGGCTGCTCAGGGGTCATTAGCATCAGCTGGGGTGCATCCAGCCAGCCCCAGACCCGCGGGTGCCCCCCAGCTGACCCAGACAACCCTGCTGGGAGCTCCAGGGGCTTGTCCCCCGCCCTGGGGGGAGCCTCTGGGGCCCGTGCTCAGCTCTGAGCATGCCCTGGACCTCAGGACCGGTGGCACGGAGCTGTGCCCAGGCTTCGGCGTACAGCCAGGGAGGTGCCTCCAGCTCCATCCCTCCAGGCAGGGGCAGGCCTGGAGCTTCGCCCAGCAAGGCTAAGGCTGCACTCACGGCCATGCCAGCATCCAAGCTTGCGCTCCCCCAGCATGGCAGCCCTGGCCATGCCGTCAGCTAGGAGCCCAGGCCGGGCCCAGCCCTGCTGGTGACCCCTGGTGCAGGGCTGAGCACGGGGATGCCAGGGCTGGGGACCCGCTATAAATAGCCATAAACCCAGGAAAGCTGATTAGGTGAGGATTGAGCAGGTAGGGAAGGAAAGGGAGCTCTTACAGGAGCAGCGCCCCGGGGGGGCAGCTGGGCTGGGAGCAGGATGGGGATCAGGGCTGACGATGGGCTCAGAGCTGCACCCTCAAGGGGTCCTGGTGCAAGAGGCACCGTGCAAGCAAGTGCACTGCATCACGGTCGTGCGAGCTGGCCCCGCTGTGCTGGGCGGCAGCAGCTTCGTGCCCCCCCAAGAGCGTTTGCATGAGTCTGAGCACTGCATGCCTGGCAATGCCCCGACCCTGGGGGAGCCCTGATGCCCCCGGCACCTGGCTCAGTGCTCCCTTCTCCCCCACAGCGTCTCCTTCTGCACCTTCCTGGCACACGAGTACCCGGACCTGGTGCACAAAGTGATCATGATCAACGGCGGGGGCCCCACGGCGCTGGAGCCCAGCCTCTGCTCCATCTTCAACATGCCCACCTGTGTCCTCCACTGCCTGTCCCCCTGCCTGGCCTGGAGCTTCCTCAAGTGAGTGCCCAAGCGGGGGAGGACTACCGTGGGGGCTGGTGCGGATGCCTCATCCTTCACTGGGAAGGAGCAGAGGTGCCAGGACTGCAGGCTGCCTCCCTGCCCGGGGGGGTTGAGAACAGCATCCCTGGGGCTGGGGATGAACAGGTCCCCCGACCCTGGGCAGGATTGGGGCCAGGCAGGCCCATGGACCTAGGTCCACTGCCCAGCTGGAGCCGTGCCCGCCCCCCCCTCCTACCCCGCAGGGCCGGCTTCGCGCGCCAGGGTGCCAAAGAGAAGCAGCTGCTGAAGGAGGGCAACGCCTTCAACGTCTCGTCCTTTGTGCTGCGGGCCATGATGAGCGGGCAGTACTGGCCGGAGGGTGACGAGGTGTACCACGCCGAGCTCACCGTGCCCGTGCTGCTGGTCCACGGCATGCACGACAAGTTTGTCCCCGTGGAGGAGGACCAGCGCATGGCCGAGGTAGGGCCCCGGGGCTCTTGCAACCTGCCCCATTGCCCTCCTCGCTGCCTCATCCGGTCTGTGATGCCTCCAAGCGTCCAGAAGCCGCATGGCGCTCTCCCTGGGGCTGAGGACGGGTGGGATCAAAGGGCACGTCCCATTCCCTGCAGCCCCATCTGGGTGCTCGGCGCCTCCCGGGCTCACGGCCGCACGGTGCCGTCTCCCCGCTCCCCAGATCCTGCTGATCGCGTTCCTGAAGGTGATCGACGAGGGCAGCCACATGGTGATGCTGGAGTGTCCTGAGACCGTGAACACCCTGCTCCACGAGTTCCTGCTCTGGGAGCCCGAGACGCCGGCCCAGGAAGGGAAAGGAGGGGAGAAGAAATGAGCCAGCCTGGGAGCAGGGCCGCCCCGACCAGAGGGACTTGGCACGAGCACGGAGGTCTGGCTTGGCTCTGGCATGGGGGCTGCAGGGGCAGGGCGCGGAGGGCACAGGCCAGAGGAGCCAGCAGACCTGGAGGGGGGGCAGCCACCCCAGAGCCCCTCCATCCCCTTCCTTGCCAGCATCCCTCTCCCCTGTGCGGCAGGGCCCTGCTCCCGGCACGGTGGAGCCCGGCGGCTCCTTCAGCTGCAGGGGCTGAGATCAGACCCGCTGTGCTGCAATAGCGCAGGGAAGGGGGTCTCCCCTCCTGCACCCACAGGCCAGAGGAGGACAACACCCACGAGCTGGCTCCCAGCACCTGGAGCTGCCTCCAGCCGGGGAAGCGGGTGCCTGCCCCCAGCCTGGGGGGCATTGGCTTCCCCAGCCGGCGAGGCCTTTCCTGGCTACAGCTGATGGCAACAGCAGCAGCCCACCCCCCGCCCAGGAGGCGTGCAGGGAAGGGGGGTTCAGCATGCACGGGTGCTGCGGCTGGCGGGGGGGAGGAGGTGCTGTCCGACCTTGGGAACAGCCTTGGAGCTTGGGGTCGGGGAGGAGGGTGGTCCATTTGTGGCCCTGCCAGGCTGTTTTGCACCAGCTGTGAGGAACCCCTTGTCCAGCCCTTCTGCAACCAATGGGGGACTCCCAGGAAGCCGATTTGAAGCCCCCCTGCCCCAGGTCAGCCAGGCCATGCGCCGAGGATGCAACGCCCCCACTCACGTCACCGATCACCATCACCCCCGGACGCCAGCGGCTCCGACAGAGACCCCGTCTAGCTCGCTGCCGCAGGGCCCAGGAGAGCGGCGAGACGGCGTCCTGGCACCGTTGACACTGGAGGTCTCTGCCCGGAGGCGCCGGGAGTGATTCATGCCGGGAAGGGCCGGGGCAAATCACTGCAGAATAATAATAACCACAAGAGACAATCACCTGGCGCCTGCCCACGCGAGGTCTGTGCGCCGCCCTCTGTCCCGGGCTGTCCGGAAGGGGCAGGGAAGGGCTGGGCTGCAGGATGGGGGTGCTGGTCCATGCTTGGGGATAAAACCAGTCTCCCCAGGGGCACCTGGTTCGTACCTGGAAGCCCTGCTGCAACCTCCCTGCAGCTGCCCTGAGGTGCCAGTCCTCTGCACCGCACGGCCCGGGACGTCCGCCTGAGCCCGTCCCGCCAGTGGCCCTGCCCGTGCCTGCATCCAAGCAGCCGGGAGCTGCACTCGGAGCCGCCTGGCAAGGCAGAGCGTGTGGCCACGGCACTGCCACTTGTACAGCTCTTGGCATGCAACCTCATTGGGGGCTGACGGGGGGGCACCAAGGAGCCTCATCCTGCCCTGGGCAGGTCTCGGCACTGCACCTTGGTGCCTGGAAGCAGGATACAGCACCCCGAGGTGTCCGTCCGCATGCGCAGGGCCTGCTGGCACCTATATGCGCAGCGGCACCCGGTCCACGGTTGCAGAGGCCGGGCCCGATGGCCGCCAGCCCCGGGAGGCAGGTGGGGAGCAGCCGGGCAGGCCGGCACCACTCGCTGCTTGCCAACAAACAGCGCCGGGTCCTCGCCGACAGCCTGGCCGCGGTTTATTGCATGTTAGAAACCCCCTGGTCAGGGGAGATACATAAAAAAAGGAGCAGCGCAGTACAAAGCCGCCGTCCCAGGTCAATGTGCAGAAGACAGTAGTGCTGACCCCAGCCCCGCCGACATGCCCATCTCCACTGAGCGCCCTCGGGGCAGCGCGGAGCAGAGGCTCATGTCTTAATGTTTCAAACCTGCCCCTTGCAGGCAGGACAGCAGTTGTGGGGTCCTTTGCGTCCAGGGGGCCAAGCGCAGCTTGGTGCCATCCTCCAGGAAGCGGCAGCCTCATGTGCTGGTGCCCCCAGCCCTAGCAGCAGGATGTGTCCCCTTCCCTGGGGACATGGGGTGGGGTATGTGTGGCCAGGGGCTCCTCCCTGCCCCACCTGGATGTCGGCAGGACGCAGCTGCCGCTCCCCCTCGGCCAGGAAGATCTGCAGGGCCCGGTGCAGCAGGTGGACGCCCAGGCGCCGGCGCCGCCGCGGGAGCCAGCCGGCCGCCACGCCGTAGCAGTTGCCCCTCTTCTGGTTCGTGAGCATCGCCAGCCCTGTGGTGGGGAGAGGAACGCGCCGGCTGCATCACAGGGCAGGGCCGCCTCGGCGGAGGGCTGGCGTGCAGCCTGCAGCCCACCCCCGTCCATCAGCAGACCCCCGCTTGGGCAGGCCGGCGTGGGATCCCCCGGGCCTTACCAAGGGCATCCACCATGCAGGCCTCCCGCGTGTACGCCTCCACAGGGATGACGTTCTGGAAGCAGTGCACCGACACCACGCCCTGCCCGCCGGCCCAGATGTCCAGGATGTGCCGCACCTTGGCGCAGGCCTGGGGGGCACGTAGGCAACGCTCAGCACCTGCCGAGGACAGGCCAGGCAGCCTGTCCTAGCTGCTCTGGGGTCCGTTCCTGGCGGTTTCCCCGCCTCCCGCAGCCCAGCTCCCAGGACTGGCACGTGCCCCACACCCCCATCCTGGGAGATGCAGCCTCTGGCAGCTGCCCCGGGATGCAGTGCAGTGGATGAGCCCCGAGGCAGGACAGCCTCATGCGCCCTCTCAGCTCAGGGTGCCAGGCTCCACCTCTGCCCACCCCAAGGCAGCCCCTGACCCCATATCAAGTGCTTTATGTCCATACCTGCCTCTTGCTCCCCCGGTAGTGCGCCAGGGCCTGGTAGAGGTGACTGTAGGGGCGCGCACGCTTCCCCTTGCCCACGTAGAAGATGGCGCGGACGAAGGTCTGGAAGCGCTCGGCCGGGCTCAGTGCGTGGCAGCGGAGGGGCAGGTTCTGGGTCACCCTGCAAGGAACCCCCTGCTCAGCTCCACGCGGTTCGTCCCCAGCTCCCCGCGTCATGCAGCCGTGCCCGGGGACACCGCCACTTCCCAGGGCACGCGGGTCGGGGCACACCTGCTGTGGCTGGCACCTTGCTCCATGTGCCACCTGGATCTTCCTGATCAAGACCGTGCACGTGGCCCCCCCCCATCCCAGGTCCTGATTTTGGGTAAACCCCCACTCCCATCCCGGGATGGGGCAGTGAAGCCGGGTCAGACACGGAGGCTGCAAGCCTCCAAGTGCCAAGCTCAGAGTGGGGAAGGGGAGCTTCAGGCCTGGCGTGGCCACGGGATGCCCATACCTGGGGTCTAGGAGCAGGTAGTTGAAGCTGGACTTGAGCACGCCCTCCCGCCACTTCCGGGCCTTGTCGGGCTGGTCGAACTGGGCAGCCAGCGCCGTCTCGTCTGCCTGGCAGTCGGGGATCTGCAGG